GCCATGCACATGTAAACGGTGAAACTTTGCAGCACAGCAGGCTAATTTGCTGCACATTAAAGTGTCTTGTGTAGACGCACCCATTTTCTCCTAATTTTCTCAGAAACAGCTGAGTTGGGATTGCTTACCCTACTAAAAAAAAAAAAAAAACACAACAGTGCAAGGCACTGATCATGCAGGAAAAAAAAAATCAGTTCAAAGGGATTGACAGGATCACAGGAAAGTAGGGCTAGAGGGAACCTCACGAGGTCGTGTGTCAAGCCCAAAGAGTATGTGTATTTTTAGAAATACTAAGAAAATAAAAACAATGGTGGTGATGGAAAGTGATAACCAGTCAATTATAGGTGGTGCGCTTCACCCTCATTCTGCCTATAACACACTGGTGTTTTTAGAATCATAGTTACTATAAATGTAGCCATCCTATACACATAAAATTCCTGGTAAAACATTTCCAACCCTCCCCCACCCACAAAAAAAAAGAAGAAGAAAAAGAACATATTTTCTCTTTGTTCAGAAACATTTAAGCTATCCTGCTCAGCTAGAAGAAACCCCTGCAAATAAAAGGCCAGGATGGAGCAGAAAGAGAGGACACTGGCCAGCCCAGTTTTATTGAATTAAGGAGGAAAGCTCAGAATAATTCTTAGTTTAATCAAAAGTAGTGCACCTCTCTAGCTATCCTCTTCATGGTGTTAGACACTAGCATTTCATACACATCAGTCAGGGTGATTCATTCACCTGTCACAGCAACCCAGGATGGATTGGAAACTTCTCGGCAAAATAAAGTCTCTAGGTTTACCGCTACAATCTGTAAAATGGCATGCATTTGAGACAGAGTGGTGGTCAAAAAGCCACCAGTCACAATAACTCATAGCAAAGAGATTCAGAAATTAAATAAGGATTATAATAAATTAATGGCACTGTGGCTAGGCACAGAAATTCAAAAAGCTCAAGGCAGAATTGATACAAGTTATGCAGTTTTCTGTAAGTGGCATAGTTTAGGTTGGTAGAAAACGGAATGCACATTCATCCTTTGGTGAGGGGAGGCAAGTCTTAAACCAGGTTCCATCATTTTTAAACCAGTCTGTGTGTGTCATACTTCTGTTCTATTATGGGTACAGACCCATTTTGTGTGCCAAACTTCCTCTCTTTTACGGGTACAGACTGGTTCCCAATTCCTTATACTGGTAAAAGTATAATAATGTCTGTACCTGGCCTGAATGAAGTGGTAAATCATCGTTAGTAGGAATAAGAGGGCAGAGATCTCACATTTTTCCAGAAGAAATAACTTTCCGTTCTTAATGTGCTAACTACAAAGATTAGCATTCTCATACTCACCTGTATTTATTCAACCACATTTCTTTTTATACTCCTAGTGTGCTTCATAAAAAGAATAACTTTACAGACAACAAATTTATTGCAGCCACAGGCCTTCTAACAGAAGTGTGACAGAGGCTTCCACATGAAGTGTTTTGTTGCTTAACCCTGGCATTCCCAATGTGCATCTTCAACAAAAGCAAGACTATAATAGAGCTGTGATTTTTAATCTTTTATTGCTATTCTGAACATGCACATCACATTGAACCATTACACATTTATTACATCGAACCAGTATGAATGCAAAAGCAGGAAAGTTCTGGGGATGGAAAAGGTGACAAAACAGTCTTTAGGCAGCAAGTGCTCAAAGCAGAGGCTTGCAAGATCTGCCCTCATCTTATTTTGATCTGAATAAAGATTCTTTGCCTCTTGCTGTACTTAATCTCAGCATGTGATCAGCATTACTTTTCAGCAAATAACCTGTTACTCCAGAAAGACAAAACATAGCTATGAAAATCAGTGCAAGCTCAGTGGGAACATCCACACATGCCTTCAACTGCACAGTTGTTACTTTAGCATGTACTAAATGACTGCACAGTAACCGCTGGTACTGTGCAGTTCCGGCGCTGCACAGGTTGTTTCTGACCCTACTGCACAGTAGCTCATTACTACTGCGCAGCAGCAGTGGCATCAGGGTTCGTGTCTGCTGACGGTATGGTCGCCATATCAATCAGCTACGTTACCATAGCTTGTCGCTACGGCAACATAGTGTCTCATTTAGATGTGCCCAGTGTTTAGCACACTGAGTCACTAACCAGCAGCCTTGCCAGTTTAAATCTCAAATGTGTACAATTAGGGAGAGAAGGGAAATAATAAAGAGGAACTGTATCTCTATCCCTGTAAATCAAAGAAAAATAGCAGTTTCTTAAATTACCTGGAAAACTTACAGTTTTGAAAAAAGCCACCTAAAATTACTGTCAAGTGAAAGTGGTGGTATGTGTGACAGAAGTGCAGACCAGGGACCAAACCTAGTCCATGCAGCCCCACTGGCCTCTCCCCAACTTCAACAGGCATGGTACAATAAGACTACAGCACACCAATTTCACACCTTGAGAGAAGTGGCTAGGACAATTAAAACGAACTGTTACAACCTGGCAACTGTATCTCCCTATAAAAAAAATAATGTGAGAGTGGCTATTATCCGACTCATTTTTATACAACTGTCATGTGGCTCAACCTCCTGGCATGGACTTTTTTGGGACCATTCTTTAATTCTTTAGGCAGACCATTCAGGATACAGCAGCAAATCAATCAGCAATTCCTAGATAGTTAAGATGCATTCATTTGCACACACAGAAATATAAACACTTGAAAACACAATAAAAGAAGAAAGACTTGCCTCTGATGAAAACCAAAGTGTTTTAGGATAAAATTTAGAAAATTACTGATTTTCCTTATCCTTATCCTATTGTCTGACTTAATAGCATAGCCTCAAGATATCTAGGTGATATCCCATTGCCATTAATATTTGGTATTTTGTTCAACAAGCCAATCATTTTTTTTAAAGTAATAACCAAGCTTCTGACAAATCTTGAACAGTAAAAGACTTAGGGGTATAACTCCACTGCAGTCACAGAAGAAACAGCAGTCAAGCACAGAGACCCAAAGCTTGATTTAGAGCAGTGGTTCTCAACCTCTTCAGACTTCAGGCACCCCTCCACAACCTGAGCGGAGCAGCACCCCTTTTTAAAAACTGATTTATTATCTCTGCACAGGGGCCCTGAGCAGTCAAATGGGGCAAGAGTGTATCCCATGGCACCCTTAAAAGAATCTCACCTCTCTCCAGTTGAGAAGCAGTGGTTTAGGGCAGTGGAGGCCAACATTTTTGAAAGGTGTGCCACAAAGTAATCCCACACCCTCCGAATGCTACTCCAATCCCCTTCCTTGCCCAACCGGCTGCTCTGCTTTTTGCTCCCTGCAGTGTGTCCCTGCCCAATCTGCTGCTTTGCTTTCTGGTTCCTGCCCTACCTGTCTCTGTGCTACCTATCACCTCCCCAGCATGCTGTATGTCACACAGAGAAGTTGCCTGTGCCATTTGTGGTACATGTTCCGCAGGCTAGCTACCCCTGATTTAAAGTATAGCTTATGAACAACTTGCTAGAGGAGCTAGGGTGTAAACCCATATTGTATCAGGTACTCGGTGGTAAACTGCACGTATGCACAGTGCATAATGAAAGGTGAGATAGTTTACTTCCTGCCATAGGGTTGGGGAGGATGGGAGGCAAACTACTACTTACCCATTGACTACAGCAGGGATCAGCAACCCCTGGCACACATACCAGAGCATGGCACGCAAGGCCATTTTCCACAGCATGCCACAGTCACCTGAGGCTGGCCATGGAGCCCAGGCTGCTCACAGCATGCAGCTGGGAGGCTGCAAGCCCTACTGCAAGCAGCCTGGGCTCCACGGCAGGCAGCAGCTGCCCAGAGACTGGGCCAGCTACAACCAGGAGGCTGCAAACACCTGCACTGGGCTTTGCAGCCCTAGCATTGGCTCTGCAGTGGTAGCTGCAGACATGCCTCAGGATGCATGGCCCCAGGCCCCTTTCTGGCCATCCACCCAGAAGCATGCGTGCATCCACCACCACCACAGAGTTGGTATTGGGACTGCAGAGACAAATGCAGCTATCTGTGGCCTCTTGGCTGCCTGCCACAGCTGTAAACAGCTGCACTGGACTCCATAACCCTGGCACCAGCTCCGTGGCAGCAGTGGTGGCTGCATGCACACTTCACAGCACACAGAAGCCCCAGCCACTCCCCCACCATCCACCTGCCGTACAGTTACCAACAGCAATGAGGATCAGACCCTCGTAGCTCCCCTATGTCTAGCATGTCAAATCGAGGCATGGGTGGAGGTTGGGGTGTTTTTGGTCCTCTGGCCAAAAACATTGCTGACCCCTGGACTACAGGGTACAAAAGTGAACAAAGACAACTATCACAGAGTTACAAACCTGCTATACGTTTACGCTCTGTCTTACTTTAAGTTCACACCTAGGTTACTTTGCGGTATCTTGTTTGGGTAGCCATGTTTTTTGATAGTTAGCTCAAACTACCTTGACTCAATTGTGACAGTCTAATCATGATGGCACAGTACTATAAGATTAAATTTATCCTGCTTCTTGGTTTGATTAGCCCACATGGAACTCCATGATAATATATATACACATTAGGCTAGACTGCTAAAAGTACTTTCTAGCTAGTTAAAGCTAGCTTGGGTGTTCCTACACTAATTCAGTGACCACAACTTCGAAATATTTTTAGTTAAAGCAACACATTTAAAAAAAAAAAAAGAGAACAAAAATATTTTTGTTCATATTATGAACAAAATTTAGAAAACCTTCCGCTATATACACCTAAAGAGGGAAGTTATAACTTAATTTTAGTAACAATTAAGTTTTTTTGAAAACTTAGTAGTTATTGTTATGGAACATTATCTCACCCATTTGCAAAAAGCATCACTTGTGCAATAAGCATCCAGATTTTTCAAGCCCTAGCAAGCACTTTTCGGCTACCTCTGTGAGCTTACCTTTAAAGTATCAGAGTTTAATTAGAGTGAATATAAGTAAACTCACTTCATTAAAAAATGCATTAGGGCCTTATATAAATTAATTAAACCTATGACTTACTCCACTGCACTGCAGTCTTTCCACCTTTAGTGATGTCCCACTGAAATACAGCATTTACTTTCTTTACCAGTTGATTTCCAACCTCTTTGATGCGACGTCTAATTTCTTCAAACACAAGGTCACTCTGCAACTCTGCAGCCTATTAAAAATGTACAGAATTTTTTAAAAAGAAAGTTCTGGTAAAAAACTAGCAAGTATGATTATTGTTAAAGAACTGAATCAAGAGAAGTCTCTTCTACATTAAATTTCTTCCTCCAAAAATAAGCAATTCCAGCATATAAGCATGGGACTGTTTACTTTACTTGATCATGTTTTGTGGAATCATTTCTGAGAACTATTTTATAAATTACCTTCACAATTCTTGTAATTTAAGGTACATCTTCCCCTTGGGATTATTTCAAGATATTATCTCAATGTTACTGATAGTGGTTACCCCAAAATGAGTTGTATAAGTTAGGTATGGGATATGGAGTCCTCTTATCAACAAGCCACCTTCAATTTGTAAACAGTGAATGGTAAGTTTTCTGTATATTCGTTTTTGGCACAAAGTTACAGACACAGTATATTGTTTCGAATTGTGCTGGACTAAGTATATTTTACATCAGCTATTAAAATTTTGCATACACTGAATCTTTCGTAAACCTTTGGGTTCTATTTTTAAATATCAAATTTATAATGAATATGCTCTTAACACGGGCAGCTTTTTAAAGTGTAACATTTTTATTAGATAGAAGCGAGAGTGAGTTTTTACTCACCCTACTATAATTAGGTGCAACAGCACACAGGATTTTCTGCACTATGTTACTTATGCTACATGCAGTTAAGAATACCTAACACTATCCATTCTGATGCATTATACTCAATGCTTTATAATTTTTTTAAATGTTTATATTTAAAGTTAAAACTTTCCCTGGTAGGGGTCTGCCTCGAACTGACACAACTAAAAACATTCCAGCTTAAATCATTTCTTACAACAAGACCAGAGAAAAAGATATATATTAGTGCCCATGTTAAAATTCTTCTGTTTAATTGAGAAGCTTCAATGTCTGTGCACTGGACATTTGGTCATGGGTCTGCTAATAAAGAAGGATGAGTTTTGCCCTCCTTAAGAAAAATCGGTCCAAATTTAACCAAGTTACAAGCCTTTCAAAAATCATAGTTCACACGTGTCATTTAAAGACTTGCTAGAGTTTGGTAGTTAAATTCTCTGAAGATTCCACTTGTACTGAAGAGCAGGGAATAACCCAGACTTTCTCTACAAGTGCCACAGGCCATCTTAATTTTGGTATCTCCTTATCTTTGAATGCCTGATGTTTCAATCAATGACCGTTTCATTTAGATTTTCACATGCCATATAGAATATGTTACACGGGAACATTAGCAATACTTTGCATAAAACAAAGCATAATATGCTTAATTTGGCTAATGTTTTAATGCATTTTTGTTGCAGATTAAAATCAAGGAGTAGAAATACCACATTTCTAAGAGGCAGCTGTAAAAAAGAAGCAATCCTGATGCTTAAAGGCAGACAATTGCTGTTACAAAGCACATCTTTTTACTGCAAACATACATTCACCACAGGTGTTTTGATTCTAAATGTAGAGCTGACAGAGAAAACAAATTAAACTGTAAAATAAGGGGGGGGAAAAAAATCCAAAACCAGAAACAAACCATGGTAGCACTGAATACAAATCTGGATTAATCTGAAAACAGAGTCCAAAGAACACCACTTTGGAACAGGCTTGTCTGTGGCCTGGCTTATCATCATGTATCAACTAAACCTAAAAACAAGAATTTTGAGACTCTACAACAGGGGTAGGCAATGTTTTTTGCCTGGAGTGCCGAAAAACACCACAATGCCTACCTTGGAAGGTGCCAGAGTGCCGGCATGCCAGAAAAACAAAATGATGGCAGGGGGTACATGGCAGGATGCCCTGCTTGTGCCCCTTGCCCCCACCCACACCCCTGCCCCCCAGCCCTGCTGCCCCTTGCCCCCCAGCCAAAGCCCGGGCCTGTCCCCAGAAGGGCTTGCAGCACCCCACCTGCCTGCCAGTGACTGGCAGCAGCTACCCAGAGCAGGGGCCGGCTGCAGCCGGGAGGCTGCAAACAGCTGCCCTGGGCTCTGGAGCCCCAACATCAGCTCTGTACCGGCGCATGCATGCGTGCCTCGGAGCAGGCAGCGGGGGAGGGGCCTGAGGCAGCACAACCCCAGTCTCACCCCTGTTCCCGGCATGGACCTGGTGACTGGGCTCCGGAGCCTGGCACAGCTCTTTGTAGCCAGCCCAGGCTCTGGGCAGCTACAGCAAGCAGGCTCCACATAGCTGCGCCAGGCTCCACATAGCTGTGTCAGGCTCCACAGCTCCAGCATCAGCTCCATGCTGGCGGCAACTGCGCGTGCACCTCAGGGCAGACAGCGGGGCAGAGCAGCCCACCCCAAGGTGCATGTGCAGTTGCCACCTGCATGGAGCTCATGCTGGAGCTGTGGAGCCCGGCACAGCTGTTAGCAGTCTCCTGGCTGCAGCCAGCCCCGGCTCTGGGAAGCTGCTGACAGCCGGGAGGCTGGGCTGCTCCCACCAGGCAGCTGGGGTGCTGCAAGCCCTGC